GCCTCCCTCTGTTTGCTCACCCGGACTTACAAGCACACGCCCTGTGTTTAGAGCAAGAGTTAATGTCTGTGCTTCCTCGTAAATCTCAGTTTGCTGCCTGGAGCTATGTTTTTAATTCCATGGTGGAGCTTTGAGATTTGAGATGAGTAGAAAGGAGGGGCAGCTGATGGAGGTGATCATGGAAGCTGCCACTTCTCCTGGGAAGCCATCCTCCTCATTCTGTTCTTTGAACAGGTAGTTTATGCCTTAGCGTCTGGAAAGGCCAGGATGGAAGGAGACAGGGAGAGGAGGGAAAGGATGTTGGCTCTGTTGCCCTGTGTGAAAGGATGCATGGCTTCTCTCCGAAGAGAGAAAAATGTGTGGAATGAGCCAATTAACCCAGACTGGTGACTGGCTGGCCTATTTTTCTAGTTCAGCTAAAAAGGACTTCAAAGAGAGGAGTCTTTCTGATGAAAATAATTCTTGTCTTACAAAGCTTGTTATTGAAGAAAGTTTTCCCTCCACGCAATTTGAGCTCCTTTTTGTGTTGTTAAACTGTCTTTATTTTCCATGATTGGTCCTGTGGCACTTGCATGATAGCTTCTTCTAGATAAGCCTCATCTCTTTCACACGCCTTCACTATTTTAGTGTAGAAGGCAGATCTTCTCTTGGGTTGCCGTGATGGTTTAAAGCAGTAATTGCTCGGGCCTTCCAACTTGCCAACTACTGTATTTGAGTAGAATTCCGAGTCTGAGTCACCGTGTAGAAGGTATAATTAACATGACTAAAGGAAGAACTCTGGTCTTTGAAAATTCTGGTCCTCAGTTTATATATCTATAAAATGAAAGAATGAGAAACACACCTCTAAGGGGCCGTCCAACTCAGTGTAAGATCTTAAAAATCTTGAGCTGTTAACCCTCTTCCTCCGCCGAGTCCTTATGAGTCTTAATGATTCCTTCCTTCTTCTTCTATGCCTTTCTGTGAGGTTTTGAACTTTGCCAGAAGTGAAGGGTACGCTAACCTCCTTGCTTCCACTACTGTGGGAGTGGAGCTGGTTCCTGGAGGGTGGGAAGTGACAACAAAGTAAGCTGTAATTGGTGAACTACTTCTCTAAGGAGAATTTCAGGTTTCTATTTGTACATGTTTTGATCTGGGAAGCGGAGGTTAGTAAAACAGGCCCAGAGACGATCAGGTTCTGGGCTTCAGGGATTGAGCCTTATTCATTTCTCAGTTTGCGATAACGCATCACACAGAGAACGGGCAACTGAATGGTGAAATCCAAGATAGACAACCTAGGAATGTTTCAGAGAAACACCTCTAATGTGATTTCAAAGATTACTTTTAACCTATTAGAAAAATTTTACAGAGCTATGCTTATTCAGTCTGAAGAAGGAGAATTGAGGGAGTGCTCTAAGCTGAATGAAAGTCTCTGATGGAGTTAATTATATACATCAAAGCTTTGATGGGAGGCAGAAATTGAACACAGAAGAAATATCCTGGGACACAGCATCAGGTGGAGGAAAAAGGACTGATAGATGAAGCAAAACACAGAAGATTCCAGCACCTCCTCCGTGCTAAAGATTTGCTTCCCTGGTTTTGTCCATGTTCTGGGATCATGGTGTTTCTCCTCCCCCTTTTTAATCCCCTTCTGCTGGTAGTTCTTGACTTGGTAATCTGATCACGTTCTTTATCTAATTTCCTGCTAACTTCATCTATTTCTATCAAAGAAGTAGTTTTTAAAATTGCTTGTAAGGGTTAAATAAAGTTAAAAATATAACATCTCTAACAGCACACAATAAGCATTCTAGTACACCAAAGGGACTTACTATGTGCTCGGATAGTGCCTTCCAGCGCATAAAACATTTTCCCATCCATTATCCTCTTGTCCCTCGTGAAAGTGTTGTTACCTAAAGGTCAGAAAGATGGTGGGGAATGCCCCAGAGATACAGCTAGTGAAAGCCAGTGTTTACACCGAGAGTATGATACTGAGAAGAAAGTTACCAAGTCTTTCTTTGTTAAATAATTTGATTTTGGCATTCTTTACCTGAGACTACACTCCCACTTTGATTAATTTGACCATAGCAGCTCAGTAAGAAAGACCTGATCTTCTTACTCTGATGACACGACATTTTTGTAATTTCCCTTTACGCTACTAATGCTCACTTATTTTCCTATCATCTCATAATTGCTGATATTGAGATATATATATATAAAATGTACAGTTCCTTTTGAAACAGAGATTTCCTTTCAACCTTTAGCTAGGATCCCTGGGCAGGCTTTTTGCCCACAGATTATGGCAAGTTCCTTAGGGCAGTTCTTTTAACTCTGTGCCTATTGGAAATAAGACTGCATTGTGTAATGGCAGGAGCTTAGCTTGGAATGTATTTTGTAACAATAGCCCAGAATGGTGAAAAGACCCCCTACATGAAGTCTTGAGAGGCCAGGGCACTCACCAGCTCAGCACTGTCTGCAGTGACACTTTCGGGAAGCCCTAGTTCTTTCTGAGTTTCTGTTTTCTCATTTCCAGAAAGAAGGCTCTGGGCTATCACTTCCAAAAGCCTTTCTAGTTCTGACATTCAACAGTACATAAACTTTAAACTACTACTCCACCAGATGGTGGCTAATTTGTGCCTTTCCATGTTTGTGAAATAGCTTAGTGAGTGCTAAGATTCCCAAGGAATGATGGGACGATACTTGGTGTGGGCTTTGTAGCAGATGTGTTCTGCTCAGGGAAGCTAATTCGATGCCCCCTAAACTAAAGAAGTCACAACCCAGAGGCTTCTTACGGGTCCCTTATATCCTGCACTGGGTGAATGCTAGTAGCGTCATGACTATAGCTGTCTACAACATTCACACAGAGTTATCGAGGTCATGGGACGTCACCACATGGAGACATCCTGAAGGACATATGGGAAAACTGAGATTCAGGAAAAGAAATGAGCTTGCCTATAGTCACGTAGCATTCAGTGTCAAAGCCCAGACTTTCACACAGGGCTCCTTGACATCCTGTTCATTGCATTTTATACCCCGTTCTGTCACGTTGGATGACAACTTTCACAGTAAGCACGAGTAACTGTTAAATAAAATGTTCCTGGTCATAAAGTCATCTGTATTCTCCACAATTGCCCTAATGACATTCGACAAAATATGATAGATTTTTTTAGCACTCTAGTACTTACTGAGATTTACTTGCTTGTTTTACCTTTCAAGAGATGACTTAGTCGTAGATTTATCTTCCCAGCTATCGCCTTTGGAGCTCAGGAGAGGAGACTGGCGGAATTTGTATCCTTAGAAGCTCACTAGATCTCTGAGAAAGGGCATTGCCATGCTCATATTGATGGGCTATTTAGAAATAGGGCCCCTCTTGAATTTCATACTTAAACTTCATTTGGCATTTCCCTAAGGTGAAAGTATATAAACTGTATTTACTAGGAAAGCTAGCTTGGCAGATTTTCATGCCCTTTGGATAAAAGCAAAATTGTACCCAGCACATAAATTGACATATGAAGCGGTAAATAATTGTATGATGCAAGTTGTTTTAATGGACTCAAGCCAGAGTGTTCCATTAACCAGTATTCATTCATCAATATTCGTTGAGCTTAGGGCTTATTGTGAGGCTAGGGGGAAAAGAAAAGAATGAAGGAAAGTATAGGAGTGTGATGAATGTCGGCATAGCCGCTGAGGAAGTGAGAGGTTACAAAGGGAACTTTAGAGATATTTACAATATTTTTAGTTTTTCTCTCTCTTCTTTTGTCTTTCTTTTTTTTAATTAAAAAAATTTTTTTTCCTTCCTAGGCAAAGGATTAAGTACAAAAAAGGCTGGGTGTCAGCCTTTAAATACAATCATCAAAAATCTGAGAACTGGGCAACAGAATGTGCCAGGCTCTTTTCTTACTTTCCTTTTGTAAGAAGCAGCTCAGAGATCAGCCAGTTCGGGTGTTACATGTATATGTGTGAGGTTGTGTTTATATATATTTCTATGTGGATAAACATTCAGAAACCACAATGGCATTCCCAAAGGAATCCTTTCTTAATACAGGAAGTGACAGCTTTGTGAAGGCACCACAATTGAGCTCTGGTTTTTCATTCTACATCCCAGGATTTAGTTTCTAGAAGAAACGAAAGCTCTGTGATGTTCCATGGGGCTGCTTAGTTTTAAAGCTTGTCAAATGCAAAGCACCTGAGCTTGGCTTCCAGGGAGCTCTTTGCATTCAGAGATGTCTAAAACCACAAACCATAAACTCTGATGCGTACATGCAAAAGAAGAGGCCACAGAAATTACAAACTTGTTATTCAGTGTGGCCACATTCCCCTGCCATCATTACTCCCAAGTTGACTTTCTCTTGCTCTGCACTTGGGTTTACCAGATGACCAGGCTTGGGCTCTATCAGATAGCAGCTGCCTCCCACATACTGGAGATCAGGATAGTGGGTCAGGACTGTGACCAGGCATAATATTCCTATGAACTCTGACATGTTTGTTGCTGCAATTTCGGTAGCTGGAATGAGTGCAGAGAATAGAGAACCATGAGATATGGAAGCTGGGGTCACAGAGCATTTTGAATTGGTCATACACACCCTCCTATCTGGGAAGCCCCAATGTCTTTTCTCAGTCATTTCTTGCTTGTGTTGACTGCTTAGTGGATATTGTAGTTGTTGTCATCTTCCTTCTCCTCAAAACCATCTTCCAGGTTGACTGTCTTCATGTTTCAGTTCTTGCCCCACCTCCTTGACTGTTCCTTCTTCTTTTCTCTTTTAATTTTGACCATCAGAATATTTGCATGAATTCACTATTCACATTTCCAGCCGTGACCTCTATCCAGAGCACCAGAGTCACATTTCCAACTAGGTGTTTACACACAGAAATCTTAACAACACCTTGAACTCACATATTTGAAACCATCTTTTCTTCTTACCTCTTAAATTCCATGGCGCAGTTCAACTTGCTGGTAGGTCAGCCGCTTATCTCAACAATTAATCTAATGAAAATTGCTAATCTAAAGGAAAACTTGTTTCTCGCAGGAGACCAGGAGAAGGACTTAGGATCTACTGGGGGAGACCTGAGCAGCAGTCGCTATTATCCCGCTGGAACCCATGGTCCACTGAGGTGCCTTATGCTACCTTCACTGAGCACCCTATGAAATACACCAGTGAAAGGCTTCTTGAAATTTGCAAGGTAGGAGGCAGCTTGGGCATCATTCTTTGGTGATGCTAAGTGCTTTTAAAATGTGTACTGTTTAAAAAAAAACAAAAAGATAAGCTACAACCTGGGGTTTATAGAGATAAAAACTGTAATAGGTTTATAGGATGTTTTTTAGCAAACAGTGGAGCTGTTTTATAGATAAAAAATATATAATACTTCTATTAAACATATCATGCTGTTTCTGCTTCGCTAATTTCTTAGCAAAGCAATTATGGTGTAATATTGTTTAAAAGTTGCAGTACTTATGTTTATCTGTGTTTATTGCTTACAGAGTACATATAATTTTCTGAGTATCATTAAATTCTTTTATTCAGGGAAAGAATGTGGAAAAGTGTGAAGTATGAAGTCAGATATGGCTCTGTGGTCGTGTTTAAGTCACTTTTTTCCTCTGGGCTTTGGTAGTCTCATCTCTAAAATGGACATAACAATGGTCCTTCTCCACCTCTTTGCGCCATTGTAAGGTTAGGTGGGATACAGTATATATAAATGATCCATAAACTATAAAGCAATTAATACTTACATGTCTTTAAATCTCATCTCCCCAAGTAGATTTTAAACTCATCAGTGGCAGAGAGGCCCCCTTCTACTATTGTTTCATCTTCCCCAGGGAGACTTAAGCAGTACTAAGATCCAGAAGTAAAACAGTTGGAGCTATACATGCGGTGAAAGATCAAACTTGATATTTTCAACAAAACCAGATATACACATATGAGTGTTCCTAAAAGTCTAGAAATTCTTGCCTTCTCTGTCCTCTCTCTGTTTATCTTTATACACTGCCATTCATTTCAGAATATCATAACTCTTTATTTGCTATAAATTCAAAACATGGCAATCTACATCTAAAATCCTCCTGTGGTTGGATGGCATATATTGTATTTCTCACATTAAACACACTTATTCATACACATGAAGATATATATGCATACATGAATAGTTTTACTTGATAAGTCCCCAATTTTAAAAAAGGATCTGAGGGGAAATATATGTAATTAGAAGCTAGATGGGCTCTTCATTCCCCCTAACCTGCAGGTAAAGTTGGTTTGAATCTTGTTCTGCTCTCAGCAAAGGTCAGTGGTCCTCTCAAGATTTATGCAGATGTCCTCAGGGGCTGATGGTCTCAAGGGTTGCCTCTGATTCCCAGCTATTGCAGGCACTAAATTAGTTCATTATATGGATCGCATTGCTACTTTCTCCATGTGATACTCCTATTTCACAATACTTGAACCCAAGCATCGACATCAGCCCTGAGCCTGCCTCTTTACCACCCAAAGTCAACAATGACACACACACACACACACAAAAGAAAGAAAACCAGTAAGAACAACATAACACTGACACAAAGGCATTGATGTGAGGGTAGACTCACTGAGGACTTCAGGGAGATAGAGTGAGCGTTTATCTCACAATAATGCCCCAAACCCTGAATGGAATATGGGATCACCCTATTTCTAAAAAGACTTTATTAATGATAATGCTCTGATGCATTGCTTCATAATCTTCTCTCCTCTCCTCTCCATCCTGCTCTTGCTTCTTCCCAAACTCCTGTTCCTTTTCTCTATTTTTATTAACAGTGAAGAGTTGTTTATCTGCTTCTTTTTTTTTTAACCCAACTGAAAGAGTTTAACCATGTATGTTTCCAAAACTACTCCCTGCTTTTAAAGGAAATCTGGTTCTAACAGTGAATATAATACGTATTTTGAAGTACCAGTAATTATTTTTTATTGTAAGTCAGAAATGAATACAAACTGCCTTGGTAAATAAATACCAACTATCACTTCCTGGGCCAAGTCTTCTCTTAATTCCTCTTACCTGGTGCGTTTTTAGCAACTATTCTCTAAGTGCCCTTTGCTGGAAGAAGTATCAGGTGAAGGATTGAAAAACAAATTCTATTAACTGCATTCCTTTAATACTTGATAGTGCTTTATTTATTCTGTCATAAATAAAAATAAGAACAAATAATTTAAAAGGAAGATGAAAGATAAAATATCAAAAGGGGGATAGAATAACTATTTCCCAAATACCTGTGAATGCAGTTAAGAGACTGGAGCATTAAGTTTTGCCCAAGACCACCTATTACCCAAGGCTAAAAGGGGAACTTGATGTTCATATAGCTCTTGTTGGATGGAAGTTAGAGCAGTGTGTGTGTGTGTGTGTGTGTCCATGCTTGTGTGCACACATGTGTGGGTATGAGCATGATGAGTGGTTGGTTGCCTAGTTGGTTGGCTTTCAGTCAGACTACTTTGTGAATCTGTTAAGTGTATTTCCTTTAACACTCTTCTCATTAAATCATTCTTTCAAAGTCTTGTTTTTTCTTCCTGGCAACAATCTGCAACTTGCATTTGATAAGCCATTTCTTAGTCAAAGTCCACTCTAAGTCCTGGCTCTCTAGGAAAACAAGTGATCTCAGTCTGGGACATGAGATGATGAGTACTTTGATCCAGTTCTTTGAGTCTTAGTTTCTTTTTTGCTGTTGGTTTTTATGTCACAAAATTATTTGTGTTTTGGACATTGTCCAAAATTGGCTTTGATTAATACTCAGTTATATTAATATAAAAGTATAAATGAGAAGAATGATAATTTTGGGAATGTAGAATCCTTTTGATATGAATACTTCAGCATAATAAGATTTTTAAAGGTGATATAAACTGGTGTTTCCATTTACCTTATGAATGAAATAGGAAAAAGTAAGATACGGGGGAAATGCGTAACTAAATGACATACTTAAAGCCATTTAATTCAGTTTAGCAAACCTATTATGGCAGAGGAAAGGGGATCATGTAGCCGAGTTACCTACAATCAAACGTTTCAAATCATTTATAATCTAATAGAACAACTTATTTTTAAAAGCATGTTTATAAAATTATTTTTTGTTTGTTTGTTTTTACTCAGCATCTTTTCTTCTGCAGCACCTGGAATCTCTCTATTCAATAAAATGTTTTCTGGCACCGACAAAGTGCAGGTGCTATGATTGTTGTTAAGGATACAAACATAAATGTGGCAAGATTCATGCTTTCTGGAAGGCATTGTGTAAGACAGGGGGCAGAAAAAAAATGCAAATATTTTTAAATAAGTACTAATGGACTGAGACAGAATTCTGAATCAAATGAAAAGAAGTGTAGGCACTTGGAGGTATATGGAGTCTCTTAGACACAGTTTAGATGGACTTTAATCTTGTATATTTCCCATCATAATTATAATGGCTCAGATGATAGGTATAAGGGCCTAAATTAAGATAAGGGTGGTAGGAATGGAGAGTAGATGAAGAAATTTTGAGATATTCAGGATATCAATGGAAGAAGGTAACTGGCAGGATATGGTAGGTGGAGGAGAGGAAGAAGCCAAAGACGGCATGTTCTGGCTTGGGTAGATGGCGATTCCATTCATTTGAATGGGGAAATCTGAAAGAAGAGTAGGTGAAGGGGTTTAGTTTAGGACATGTTGAATTAGAAATTCCTGTGGCATGTGGGGTTGAGTTGGTTGCCAGGCAGTTAGAAATTTAGGTCTGTCTGAAGCTCAGAAGGGAAAGCTGAACTGATAATGTAAGTTTCAGGTCATACTATGTGGGGTCAAAGCTGAGTCTTGGGGTTGATTGCTCAGGAAGGTAGCCGAGGAAGTAGCATTAATGGGCAGAATTGCATTCAAATTCAAATTTATACTATCTCTAAGTCATTTAGCACTGATCTAATAAAATCACTGTCAAATGCATGCAATGCTGTGTCAAAATACATTACTTCTTTTACCCATCCCACTAACTCTACACCACCTGTACATCTGGTAAGTATGATGGTCACATGGACTCTTCCCAGGCATTCTTGCTTATCTCTAAGTCTTCTTACCAGCACTTTTCGATCTGTGCATGCACATACTTTGCATTACTCATATAAAAGGTTGTGAAAAATAGAAAGTAACATTTTTGGCATTGATTTTATTATTATAAGACATAATAATATCATGTGAATTATGTAATTATATTTTATAGTTATTGATTACAGTTTACATATTTTCATGTAATTCAAGTAACAAAAACTCTTTGAGGTCAGAATGCTGTCCCCACTTTAAAAATGAAGATACTTAGTGATTAAGTGAATTAGGCTGAGGTATCATAATAACTATTTCCACACCCAAACAATTTGCCAATAATCAGGGGAAAGGGTAAAACCCAGGAAGAACTCTGTGTGTGTGTGTGTATTCATAGTTACTGCTGTGATATAAAATGATATGATACTTTGTGACCAAGGTTAGTTATCCTTAATTGTTTAATTCACTTAATATCTCCAACTTTTAGCCTTTCTTCTTTTAACCATTTTCTTTTTTTCACTGAACCAGGTTCATTTGTCCAATGTGCAGTAAGCCAAATGCTTAAATGCCAAGGTTCCCAGCAGAGAAAGGGTTTACTCACAAGGGATCCAAGCCAGGAAAATGGGGGAACAGATCTCAAATCTGCCTTTCCAAATGCAAGGGGCTTAGAATATTTACGAGATAAAGATGCAGAGTGGACCAAGACATGGAGAAGGTGATTGGAGGCAAGAAAAATCTGAAGTAATCTATATTCTGTGCAGGTGTATCTGAGTTACATGCTTTTTCTTAGAATGCATGCTCAGAAGACAGCAGAGTTAGCATGATATGAGTTTCTGGTCCTCTGCCATTAAAAGGTCATCCTTTGGACACTTACACAGGCCCAGTTGAATGGTTGGTGTTCTCGACCAGTTCGAACTGGGCAAGATTAGCTCCATGTTCCCGAAAAATAACTTAAGCAACCGTTTCTAGAGTGACCCATATGTTAGAGGTGTTATCTACAGAGGGTTATTACAGGAACCTTGTGATATATTCTATGACCTACAGGAAGCTTGGAGGGCATGCAATTCGCAGGAACAATTAAAGTGAGTTTCGTCAGTGAAGGCAGTTACAGGCTGTTATTTATTAAGAAAGTTATAGTTCAGGGGATCTAACTGATGATGCCCTCAGTTGTCTTA